CAATCCACCGTGTCTGAGCAGGCTCGTGAAATCCAACAGCTAAAAACAAATCAGAATGACATGGAGCAATTTAATCGTCTCTCCAATTTAGAGGTGCATGGCATCCCATTTTCACCCCAGGAGAACATTATGGATCATCTAACAAGGCTCGTACAACAAATCAACATTGAGGATTTTCATCCTGCACATATCGTTGCTGCACATCGCCTGCCGGTGAAGTCTGGTGCAGTACCACCCGTCCTAGACCGATTCTCGTCTGTTTCCATTAAGGAGCACTGGATGGGCTACCGAGGACGCCTGGGTTACTTACCTCGTGATGATTCTCATCCCCGAGTATATTTTAACAAAAATCTCACGGATTCAAATAGGAAGCTATTTTGGATAGCGCGGACCAGAGGGAAGGAAAATAATTTCAAATTTTTATGGGTCCGACATGGCAAAAATCTACGCTCAATAGAGCCAGAACTTTCCCCTCCTCCGCATCACTGACACTGGTGCACTTGATCAAATCACTTGACATCGATGAGTAGCTCCTCTACAACTTGTTACTCCATTCCAGATTGTAATTCATTTATTTATATTATAGGTCCAGCTTCTAATCATTCATTAACAATTATTCATGTAAATATTAGAAGCTTAAGAAAGCATTGGAAGGAGTTCCGAATAGTCGTAAAGAACTTAGATCCAGTTGTAGATTTGTTCTAACCGAGATTGATGTGTCAGCTTCTCAATGTGATCAGTTCGTCTTGAATGGGTATAATAAATTTTTTTGCACGCGTAATATTCGTAGGGGCGGTGGTATTGCCATATATATTAAGGACAAATGGCTGCCATCGAGTTCAAGTGCGTCTTTTTAACATGCAGAATCAATCGCACATTTTCTTTATTCTTGCTGGCAGTGTACAGGCCACCTTCGAAGAACCCCTCGCTTTTTCTAGCTGAACTGGACATTATCCTCAAAGAGTTGCGGTCAGAAGGGCAATTTTGTTTAATAGGGTACATGAATATTGACACTTTAAAGCCTAACAAATCTACAGTTTGTGACTACTTAAGGTAACTGTCGGACTATGGAATTGAAAATACCATTAACATCCCAACAAGAGAAGAAGTTCTATCTGGTAGACTAGTAGTCTCTTGCATCGATCACATAAATATCAGAGCCCCAGATGCACTTGTGAAAACCGTTGTCATTCATCAAAAGCTTTCCGATCACTACTTGGTAGGTTGTCACTTGGAGCACCAAGCTGCCCAACAGAAATATAGTAGAAGAAACCAAACGTGCGTAATTATAACAGATACTATTAAATTTGATGGCTTAGTCGCTGCCGAGAACTACAGTTTTTAGATCTGAGGTGAAATGTGTCAGATGGATTGTGTTGGGAGTACGGCAAACTTGTGCCCAAACCCTTGCTACCGTATCAGAGCTGTCACTCAGAACTAGTGAAAAGGGGAGTAGCGATGTCGCTTCTAGATAATGCTTAAAAAAATCATGTGTACACAGGGTAGACGCTGCTATCAGGAACCAACAGTCACGGTTCAAAAATGCAGGCTATAAAGCTAACGTTGTTGAAAGTGTGTCTATGAAAACGCTAATGAAGTTCCAAGGGTTGCCTAGAACAGAGAGAGAAAGGCTGGAAAGTGTTGCGTGTATCCCCATTTTTCATGGTTTTTCACATAACCGGTTGGCAGTCGCAAGGAAGTTCGGTGTAAAGTGGTATTTACAGCGGATTTCAAACTGGGCAGGTTGACTCCTTTTTTTGTGGTACAGCAGGGCTGCCAGATAGGGCACAGGGAACCCCCAGTGCCTCGTGAGGTGGGTGTTGTTTACGATATCCCCATGGCCTGTGGCTTCTCCTACGTCGGACAGACGAATCGCTGTTTAAATGAAAGGTTGTTGGAGCACAAGCGGGCGGTAAATAACAAAGCTCCCAACTAAAAAATTTCGAAAACATGTGGAGGAATGTGGCAACTGTTCTCCTGGGTGGGAAAAAAACACTAGTATGCACGGAACGAGATTGCTCAAAAAGAATTATAAAGGAGACGATTAGGATCACCTCCGCTGGAAATTGCATTAGCCAACCCTCTATTACAATGAGTGAGGTAACGCGAAAATTTCTGTTGTTATAATTTTTTGTTTGTTTGTGAAATGTTTTTGTTGTTTTTGAGGTCACTTGATATATGTAGCTTTTGAGGTCACTGGACGTCCCTTCGCTATGAACGTTAGTTCCTGTAGGCGGTTAATTAAGATATGTGTAGAGGTCAGCCTTAGACCTACGCGTCATAGTTATCTTGAGGTCTCCGAAGGGAAGAGTCGTTATACGGGTTCGTCCGTTTTGTGTGGGAACCAGTTGTTCTGGGTTCAGGGCTGGTCCCTTGCGGCTTTTGTTACCATTGTTCTTTTGAGATCAGTTGAACGTCCTATCGAGGTGTGTTATTTTTGGAATGTGGGCGGTTTAGTCTAGGAATTGTATAAGGGTCAGCCATTGGACGTGCGCAGTTGTCCGGATGTGGGTGCGGGAGAGGACGTATATAAGCGGTGGGTTCAATAAAAGTTGTTAGCTGAGTTTTAGACGTGTGTCCTGTCCCCATTCTTTCCGTTCGTCTCCGGTATTAACGACATGAAACCTAAACCAGCTCGCCTCCTTACTAGCTTTATCATCAATAGGAATGGTAAACTACTATTGAATCACTGAGAACCCTGACACGCCGAAACAGAGTTTTGTTGAAGAGATCAGCATGAAAAAGCCTTGGACAACGTAAATCACCCAACTTGGTTTGCTTGGATGACACAAAGAAAACCTGTGTTATCCCTAATGCAGGACTAGAAGGAATTGCCGATGTTAAGATCCAAAAAACTCTAGAAAAAAAAAAACAGCAACTTGACGTACTACAGCAGGGCAATGACAACAACCAAGACTAGTGAACTAGTGACCGAGTGACAAAAGAAATGCTAACCATTGTAACCACGGTTGAACTTGCCTCCCACACGTTCGTGTTGGGAGGAAAGTTCAGGGTGAATACCGATCGGCTGCCGCTGGTGTCTATGATCAAGAACCTCAGCTTAAAACTTTTAGGGAGCCTAGGATGTGTTAGCCTGAGGTTGCATTACTATTATTTCAACATCGAGCGCATTCCAGAGAAAAAAACAATTGGCAGCGACCTTTATCTTCAAAGTTCTAAAATGCATGAAATGCATTCCTTACCGTGCGGTCACTTACATTTATTTAGAAAACATTAAACCGTAGCTTCAAGGAGTGAGGAACCTTTATTTTCATCAAATTATTAGATACATTGAGCGGGGAAACTAAGTAATTAAATAGGTCTCATAGCGTCTGGTCACGTGACATCAAGTCTCCCGTTAGTTTTAGCGGGAAAAGTGAATTGGGGTGTATAAGGCACGTGACGTCAGGTCACGTGATATACATTTTAGGTTAAATATGACAGGGAAAAGGAATTGGTGCATGTGTCACGCAAAGTCAGGTCACGTGACATCAATTTTCTGGCTAATATTAAGGCGAAAGTTAATTGATGAATAAGTCACGTGACTTCAATTTTCCAGCTAAATTTAGCTGGAAACCATTTGGTGTGTGAGTCAAGCAAAATCAGCTCACGTGACATCAATATTTTTGTTAAATTTAACAGAAAACCTAGTTGATGTTTAGATAACGTGACGTCAGATAACGTGACATGAATCGATGTTACGTGACCTACACACCAATTCAGTTTTCCAGCTAATTTAGCGAGAAATGCACGGATAGTCTAATGAACACAATTTTGGGATTGGGGGGTTCTCATAAAAATCATTTCAAGCTTTAAAACAGGTGACTACCTGCCGAGGTATCCTCCAACATACAAGAACGCAGAACCAACAAAACAAAAAGAAAAAAAGAAAAAAAAAAAAGAAACATCGCGACATATGAATGCATATTTTTTGTCCTGGAATCATCCACACCCAGAGCGTTGTCGAGGCGAGAAATTGAAAAGGCGTACAAGAGCGACACTTGAAAAGATCTGCTCATTCGTGTAGTAATGTCAAGTGCGCGATAGATTTACAAAAATCTCTTAAAAGACGAGAAGTTGAAACATTTTGCTCAAATCAGAGACAAACTGGTGGTTGGTGACAACGACGTCGTGCTTACAGAAAGTCAGAAGACCTTTTCTGTCCGAACGCGACACGTGTATGATCGAACTCTGCTCATTACGTGTGACTGTCCGGTCGGCAGCACCGCCTGTCTGGGCCGGTGGAAAAACCGGAAGCCCCATCACCAGTAGAAGCAAAAAAAAAAAAAAAAAAACCTTGTTGCACATTGGTTAATTTTTGTCGGGTCTATTGTTAACAGGCTTAGAAGTGACGGGCTTTAACTCCCTTACTGACGAATTTCGAGTGAAATGCGCACGTTGTGTTTTATTTGTCCATTGCCCGAACCAAATGATAATGCTTGTTGCGCTTACGATTGCGTGACTAATGAAACATTGGCGTGTTACATCTATTGTGTAAACATAGCACGTCCAGCAGCCTCTGCACGGATCGAGGATAGATGGCACGCTCGTCGCGATGTATCTATGCGCCGACGCTGAGGTCAACCACTCATCGTAAGACAAATATGTAGTGTAGAAAAATAGGGAGCTACCGCTTCTACATGTTTGCAACAAAAATGTGCGCGGCCTGGCGGCATAAATGCAGAACAGGGGTAAGTAGATTAAAGGCACGCCGTGCAAGTTTCTAATAGAGAGGCAAAATTTAAGGTACTCCCAACATAGCAAGCTTGGCGTGTCTGACCTCAACCGGTGCCAACTGAAGGTTGTGTTACGTCGGACTGTAAACGCGTCTTTATAGTCTGCCTCATTTAACTGCAGGAAACCAGTTCTTCGGCTCTGGACATCTTTCCTACTATATGAAGCTTCCACATCTACACTCGGCCTTCAGATATAGGTTTGTGAGATTTGTACCAAGGGTGTAAATATATCAATAACATGTCACTGTCTTCCCGGCCACTTACCTCTTCTAGCGTACCAGCAGTATCGTTCTTACAAAGTTCCAAAATTTTTCTTTCGCAGTTCGGCGCTATGTTTTGCGCACCTTTGATTCCTGTAAAAAATAATCACAAAATAAAAAAGCACACAGGCTTTAACATATTTCAAGGTATGTTTTAGCAACTTTTGCCAGTCAATATCGATGCCAATGCGAACATGGAAGACACACTATACACGTATTTAATTACGTATAGTTAATTATGAAGGCAGTCGACTGATTTAGCGTATATGGCATAGCAATTTTACTTTCGGCCGTGGAGCTCGGATGAGAAATGGAAGGCTAGTTATGAGCGGCGATAACGGCCGACGTCGGGCGTGGTAACTCGGTTTCACTTGCCCCCACAGACTACCGTGTTAGAGGGATACTTCACCGAAATTTGAAGTATACCCGTCGTGTTTAAAAACAGGTTGGATATTATCCACAATATCCGTAAATGACCATCGCACCCTGTTGAATTAACCTGAGACTGGGGTAGAGAAGAAACATCAAAACGTAGAAGGGACAAAAAATGGACTGAGTTTGGGTGCAGGTGAGCTGAGTTTGAGACGTCCTTTCAATTTTTTGTCCTTGTATACATTTTCATGTTTCTTCTCTGCCCCAGTCTCAGGTTAATTCAACATTGTTAATATTCCCCAGCTCACCTGCACCCTTACGATTTTTTCGACAATCGCACGTTTGTATTTTGAGCCTGGTGGTTGTATTTTTCGTTATAAACGGCCCACTCTGGCAAGCGCTCGGAGAACAGCCAGCGGTGAGCACGTGACATCCAACGCAATCGTGACGTCCTTCGTCTCGGGACGAGCAAAGCTACAGCAAGGCTGACGTCGAGAGGATGGCCTAGTCCAGTGGTCTCAAACTCATTTGAGCGTTGGGGCCAGATAGCCCGCACTGGAAAGGCCGAGGGCCAACGTTAGACGGGGGGAGGGGGGGGATCAAACAATTTGAAAGAGAAAAGACCTTGTGCTCTGTGCTTTTTGTAAACTCAGTTTTGCCTGTGACATTTCTAGATTTCATTAGTTTATATGACTACTTTGGTCCCTGTTCTGATGTGTAACAATAATTAAAATGACCCACCCCCTCCCCGGCCAACGTGCTCGAATTTTTAATAGAACAAAAGAGCAAGTACACTGACGTTCCGTTGCTCAGTTCACTGAGGAATTAACCAAGCTCAAAATGTCTCTAAAAACAATCACTTAATTTGCCAGTTTCATTTCATTTCTTGCTTTTCTGACGATTCCTATTACAACACCCATATACTTGTCTCTAATTGTATTTTTTTAAGGCGAGAGTCCCGAGCTCGTGGCATTATCTTCGGCAGTTGCTCCTGCTGATCGCGAGTTCGCGCAGCCGAGATTCATCCTTCAACAAAGAGCTCGCGCTTGCAGCCTAGTAGCGACATTGTTGTACATTACAAAAATCTGGGAAGCAAAACATGAAACGAAACAAGGGGCAAATGAACACAGACAAGTAAAAACTACGTGAATACGTTCAAAGAGCATAGCTACTTTTCGAGCGAAAATGAATCGACGAGATGAGATCACTATGGGGCGTGCCATTTTTAGCGCTCGCGAGACATGGGAACCGGGAATCGTAGCCGGTTGCTTGCGGGCCTCGTCCCAGCGAGTTGCGGGCCGCATACGGCCCGTGGGCCGCGTGTTTGAGACCCCTGGCCTAGTCGTTCCAGCCACCGAAGCGGCGTTTGTACGAATTTTGAGTGACAGATTAATCTTCTGTAATCTTTTAGAGGGACAATAGCGACTTCTGGGACACACAAAAGGGATTCTCAGAAAGGGAGGAACGTTCCTCCTTCCCCTCTTCTCTCGTGGTGGCCGGAGGCGAGACAGTTATCGTCACTACCTGTCAAGGTTCATAGACGGGCTTTACAAGCGAGGCGTTGGCGACATCCACCAGGTGCTCATCGCTAATCGTTGAATTCACTTTAAAATTCCTTTTCCTGTCTTTTTTTAGCAAGATATTGGTGTGTCCGATGTGATGCTGCTCCTTTGAACACATAAAGACCAAAAAAATAACCACCGAAATTGTGTTGTAGTATATCTTTCATGTGCCTACTGTACCAGAATTTCATTAAATGAAGCGTGCAGTTCTGCTGCATTGCAACATTGCTGGGCGATTGTGCCAGATTGAAGACTTTAGGAAGCTGCTCGGAAAAAGCATGGGTCCTCAGGGAAGGGGGCGCCGGGCCGTATAGGGCCGAATTTGAAGTTCTACTTCTGACTTTTCAAATTAAAGAGAAATGCGGCAAAGCCCGAATTGTAGTTATATAGTGCTGCGCGAAGATGTTCTCTTGACCGCCGCATTTCGGGAGAGTTATGGTCCTTATGGCTGTGCCGGGGCGAGCTCCTTTCCGCCATCCCTGCAGCAGGACGGAATATGTCCGTCATTTCTCTCCTCCAAAGTGAACCGAATGCCGCGCTACTCTGCATGACCAGGCTGACTGTGTTCGCTCTTACGGCCAATCTGTGGGACAATGTGCGGCTGAGCACAAGAAAAATTTGGTCATGAATGAAGATAAGACAGAGACAGCGGCAGCGCCAACGAAGGGGTCTAAGAAATCCTAGCACACTGACAAGGGCGACATGCATGGCACTGCAGTTTCGAAAGTGATCAAGCCCGCACTGTCGCAACCACTGATCTCTATGACAATTGCTGGATCGCGTTTGCCCGCTCCGCGATTGCGGTCACTGGCGGCCATCTTTAGGTAGAGTTATATCACCTCTAGCCAATGTAAGCTGCTGCAGCCGCTATCACCCATCTATGGCAGATAGCGTTTTTGGCAGGTGGGTTGGCAGGCTGCGGTCAAAATAGCGTGGGTGATATTGCGTGCTTGATTAAAATTATTTGACGAAACATGTTTTTGAAACCCGGCGTGAACAGTAGTCCGGTTTCTGAGGACCTGGTAAAAGTTTCACAAAATCGAAGCACCGGGAGAAAAGCAGCACAGCACGTATCGAAAGTCGCATCGAAAGAAGCATCGAAAGCAGACGACGGTAGGGAGTCTGCTTTTGATGCGAGCTGCGCTGCTTTCCGCCGGTGCTGCGCTTTCGTAGAACTTTTTCCGGGTCCTCAAAGATGAGGCTACTGTTCACGCCGGGTTTCAAGAATCTGCTTCGTCGAACAACTTCAATCAAGCACGAAATGTCACCCACGGTACAGTGTACTAGATCTACGGCTATTTTTATGGCAGCCTGCCGCCATTGCGCTGTCCGCCATATTACTATGATGGCTAGAGATGATATAACTCTACCTAAAGATGGCCGCCAGTGACCGCATTCCGGTCCATAGGAGGAGCTGGTCAAACGCGATCCAGCAAATAGACATAGAGATCAGTGGTCGCAACCGTCGATTGCAGCGGCTCCTTCTCCAACAGTCGAGCACTCTTCTGCAACTTAGGAGGATAAAACACCGGTAACGCTTTTCACTCACATCTGACGACGAGCCCAACTTATCACGGATCAATGTCGATGCAACTTCAGCAAAGCGTCGCTATGACGAACTCGTTGAGGCCTCGAGCTACAGTGGTAGGTAACGTCGGAAAAACGTAACGGTTACTAGCCACGCTTGTCGTCACTGTAACACAGCGACAAACTCTCTAGTTGACTACACTCTTTAAAAAAAGGGTATCGATAGTCCTCCCCAAGGGGAGGAACGGTCTTGTAACCTATGTTCTCTTAAAAAGGGAGAAACATTCGTGAAGCAGGGGAGAAAATAGTTCCTCCGTCGCCTGCTTCTCATTATGGCGGCCCTTAATCAAGCGAATCGAGCTTAATAAGGCTTAACGAGGACGCTACGCCTCTTGTATGGGACGAGAGGAGCAGCAAATAAAAGCGTAACACAAGCTTTCCGCGAACTTTGTTTACTTCCGAAGCGAGATTCCCTCCGCAGGTACAGAAACTTGCGTTTCCAAAGCAGTTACTCAATCTTCTCGTCGTCAGCACTGCGATGTTAAACGGAGACAACCGATACCCAGCTACTTCGCGCACTTTGCGTCCCACCCTTGCTGTTCCTCGAGTCACAATTCCTTCGTCAACCGCACACCACGCAAGCCCACACTGTGGGCTTGCGTGGTGTGCGGTTAACTACGTCACGAGTGCGTTGGATGTCACGGGCTTACCGCCGCAGACGAACTACGTCTCGCTTGCGTTGGATTTCACGTGCTCACCGCTGGCTTTTCTCAAGCGATTAATCTGTCACCATAGGAATGGCAAACCAGTCCGCGAAACCAAAAGCCGCTCTCAAAAGAACAAACTCGAAGCCGCTGTTTATCGCGTAGCGTGAAAGAAGGTTAAATCGCTTGCCACCAGATAGATGGCAGGGTCAAGCAGAGTAATTGCAAGTAGCTAGGCTAGGTGGCGCGAGGTACCGCCCAATTCATGTTCTACAAAAATATTTTATTTCCTCAGGCCACCATTGCGCTTCGGGACATGTATAGACACTTTACGCATACTACAAGTATTAGGCGAACACACTTTGAGCGCAAACACATACATGGCACATACAAACACTAATACAACGGCACACTAACCCGAACGCTAGAGCCGAGCTCTGCGTTTCCGTCTTTTATACTGGTCGTTTTGAACGTACGGAATTTTCGCTGACTGCCTAAGCAATAAATAATATTCCCAGCATGTTGATTTTTTTCCAGGAATGTCATGCCTCTGAGAGTATACTTTGAATGGCTCAGGGGATGAATCTCTTATTAAAATGTAAACGCTCGATCATGCCGTAATAATTTGGAAGCCAATAAATCGAGCCGCTCCAATGCGGTTCGAAGCCATGAGTTTGTCCCCGCACGTCACGTTGTAGCCTGAATTTGTATTGTAGTGTTTCTTTTTCTATTTGTGCTGTTCGCGCACAGCTGCGATTGCCGTCTTTAATTAATCTCTGTGAAGCGGATTTTCACTCAGCTGGAAGTGATGCTCCACGGGCAGAAAAATCGCTTTTTGATCAACTTGAATGCCGTCAAAGCCCCGACTTGCGGCAGGTGTTAAGTGTACGAAGCTACGCCGTGGCAAGCTCGAAAACTTCTAGCGCTC